GGAACTTAATTTCAGTAAATGCACTTTTATCTTGTGTTTTATTAATATTTTCAGTTAGAAAAGTCTATATTCTATAAGAAGGTATATAAACTTATAAGGAATTCATTTGACCGAGTTGATTTGATGTTTTTGATTAATTCTTGCTGATTACATTAATTTTTAAATTTTGATTTCTCTATATGATTCTTATTTGGAATACTTGGTGGTATGAAAATTATTTTAATAGTAGAAGATTTAAATTTCATATTACCTTAATTATAGTATCAAACCTTTAATAGCTCTCTTATTAATCTTCACAGACCAACAAATCCTATTGTGGAAAATTTTTGTGACAAAATTAAGCAACAATATTTTTATTTATTAAGCAAAATTTATTTTAAGTAGAAATTATTCGTAGAGTGAGAATTAATTTGAAGTTTATTCATTTAAAATTTGATTTCAAATTTATTAATTCAAGTCATTAAATTATATTCTAAATAAATTACTAAGAGTTTTTAAATATTAATAAGAAATTGCTTGATTTAAAATATATATCTATATTTTTATATTATTCATAATTCTTTACTTTACCTAATTTATATTTAATTTGATTTTCTATCGCAAGTGATCAAATATTTTGCATCCTCACTCATTCTTCCAAATAAATATGTAGTTTCGAATTAAATAGATTATTCAGTTAGAAACTCTCCATTTTATTTTTCCTAATCAAATTGACATATTCATCATTCTTACTCAATAGGATACATTCAGATTATACATATTGTTAAGGAAATAAACGTTGCTCATTTGGCCCACACTTAACTGTAATATCTCTAGTCTTGGTAAATTACTTATTGATATTATTCATCTCAAAAATAGATATCTATTCTGTAGCATAAGGTGAGAATATGAACATATTATTACCAATAAAGCAAACTCTATACCCATACTTTTCAACTGTAATCTTTTATATTACAATCCATTCTAAGTTTTGGATCTCTTTTTATATGAGAAATATCATCATATCACAATTTGATTATTTAGTATTAATTCTCATAATTTTCACTCCTTTAACCCTATCAGGTAATATTTATTATTATGATGAAATTATTGTCATACTATTTTTAGGTTTAATCTCTATTGGTTGCAGTAACTTTAACAAAGGCAGATACTCGTATTTTGGAAAAAGATCTAATTTAATTAATTGTTATACATAAATTGATTATCAATAGAAGAATATCGGCTATATTTGAATTGAACTCATATTGAATTTCACAGTTCACTGCCCTATTAAATTTTACGCATAAAGCTTAAGTCTACTAGAAATCAGGTAATATTGCTACTTTATTCGCTAAATGTCATGAGTTCTCGTTCTTATGTTGAGATTAAATAAATAAGATTTTTTGGATTTATTCCATTGAGAAATACTTTAATGAAGATTAATTTGTTTCTGTTAAGAGATTAATATGTTTCTGATCTATTAATTCAAAATAAAAATTCTATTATAATTACATTAAATGATATTGATATTATAGTTATAATAAAGATTATTATTCATC